AGCCAGAAACCTTGGAGTTATGATTGATGATCAGCTGACTTTCTCAGACCACATTGCTAAAACTGCAGATTTGCTTTATTCAACATCAAGAAGATCAGGTCCTTTTCTTTTGGAACATGCTTCACAACTCCTTGTTCAAGCTCTTGTTCTGTCCTACTGAGCCAAAAAGAATGCACGTCACACTTCTGTTTATCAATTTGCACTGGCTACCAATAGCTGCTCGCATAAAATTCAAGGCATTAATGTTTGCCTACAAAACCACCACAGGCTCTGCACCCCTTTACCTAAATTCATTACTTCAGACTTATGTGCCCTCTAGAAGCTTGTGTTCTGCAAGTGAATGTCACTTTATTATGCCATCGCAAAGAGGCACAAAATCACTTTCACAGACTTATAAATTAAATGTTCCCTCCTGGTGGAATGACCTACCCAACTCAATCCGAGCAGGATTGAGAATCGGCTATCTTCAAGAATCGGCTAAAAACACTCTCTTCCATCTTCCACTCTCTTAAAAACAATCTCTTCCATCTTCATTTGACCCTCTAACTCTAGCACTCTCTATTTTAATTCTATTCTTTAAAAAAACATGTCCCTTTTAGACTTGCACTCTACTCATTTACTGCTTGTTTTCTTAAAAAAAAAAAAACTAAAACTGTCACAGTTATGGACTGTTTGTGGTGTTTTCTCCCTCATGTGCCCGTATTTGGTCGTTCCTGTTCTCGTTGTGTCATTATTAGCTGATCCTCCTCACCTGTCTGTCCCTCATTAGCACCCCTACTTATAGTCAAGTCTGTTCATTTTGTCTTTGTCCGGTATTGTGAATGTTACCTTGTGTGTGTGTGTGTTCCTGCCCTCTCTGGAGATTACCTGTCGTGGAATTATTAAAGTGTGTTTGAACTTATTCGTCTTCATCGTCCTGCCTCTTCCCACACACCATATCGTGACAGAATTCCGGACCAAGAAGTGATAGTGCGCGGTGTGTGTTCCTGCGTTTTGTTTTTTTGTTTTGCCAGTTTTTCTTTTGTGTTATTATGGTCAACCCAGAGCCCAGCCTACCACCACCCTGCTTCGTGGAATTACAGAGTCCACTGCTGACGGAGAGCCAGAGCCCGCTGCGACCGACGAGCCAACGCCAAGGAGGGCGACAGAGCTGAGGATCGCCCCGGAGCCAGAGCTGAGGATCGACGTCAGTCCAGGTGCGCAAGCAGTAGCGGTTTTTGGCACGGGCGAACCAGGCAGTCGCCCGGGGCGGCATTTTTTCATGATACATGGGGGGCGGCACGAGCAGTTAAAAAAAAAAAAAATCCTCTGCGCCTCCGCCGTATCATCTGTCTGTCCCGTCACGACCACGGAGTTTGTGATTGAATCTTCTGTCTGTCCTGAATTGACCACGGAGGTCGTATTTGAACTGTCTGTCAGTCTGAAAATATTTGTCTGCCCTGAACTATCTGCCTGTACTATAACGACCACGGTGGTTGTTCACCTGTTGCTTGCGCTCACGGTGCTGGAAATGGCTTTATGGTGTGTGTGGGCAGCACACATTGTCCCTAAGCCCCCTGAGCATTCTGAACTCCCACCCAGTCTCCCTCTCCCACCACCTCTGCACCAGTCCTCACCATTGCCTCCGCTGTCTCCTGGCAGCCCCTCTGCTCACAGTCAGCCCACCATCTGTGCGGTGGGATCGCCGCGGGTCTGCCAGTCTCCATCGGCATCGTGGCTGGAGGATCTCTTGTCTCCGCCTCTAGCCTCTGAGTCCTGGACTCTGCCTCAGCCCTTCGACCCAGCGGCTCCACCATGGCTCCTAGCTCCCTCAACACCAGGAGCATGGTCAGTCCACCAGCTCTGCCGGGCTCCCTCGTCCCTCCGGCTCCGCCTTGGTCTGTCGTCGACCATCCGCCGCCTCGTGACTCCACTCCTCCGGCTACACCTCGTCCCTCCATCCCTCCGGCTCTGTCAGGCTCCTCCTTCCCTCCGGCTCCACCGCGGCCTTCCGGATCCCCACCTCCGCCTTGGTTGCCGGAGCCATCTGCTCTGCCTTGGCCCTCCAGATCCTCCCCGTCGCTCTGGCTCATCGGCTGTCCTTCTCCGCCTTGGGCTCCTCCTCCACCTGCTCCGCCGCCGTCGGTCGGCCACCTGGAGTCGTCAGCCTTGCTTCCACCTTGGCTCCTCCCTCTGTCGGCTCCACCGTGGGCCGCCATCATGGCTGTGGCCTGGGTCCCGCCTGGCTCCAAGTCCCTCCTGTCTTTTCCCTGGCTCCTCCCGCCGTCTGATCCGCCCTGGCTCCTCCTGTCTTCTCCCTGGCTCCTCCCTCCATCGTCCTCCTCCCAGGAGTCCGTCCTCTGCCAGAGCCTCCACCTGTCTGGTCTGCCTGCCTTCCTGCCAGCCCTTTGCCGTCCTCTGTCACCATCCCTTCTCCACTCCTTGTGTCCTCCTCCAAAGTCCCCCTCCGTCCCTTCCTTTGTGTCTACGGCGCGAGGTCATGCCTTCCGGGAGGGGGGCGGAACTGTCACAGTTATGGACTGTTTGTGGTGTTTTCTCCCTCATGTGCCCATATTTGGTCATTCCTGTTCTCGTTGTTTCATTATTAGTTGATCCTCCTCACCTGCCTGTCCCTCATTAGTACCCCTACTTATAGTTAAGTCTGTTCATTCTGTCTTTGTCCGGTATTGTGAATGTTACCTCGTGTGTGTGTGTGTGTGTGTGTGTGTTCCCGCACTCTCTGGAGATTACCTTTCTAGTTAATTTCAGACCGATCTTGAATATCCCTTTTCTGTCCAAGATACTAGAAAAGGTAGTATCCTCACAATTATATTCCTTCTTAGAGAAAAATGATATCTGTGAGGATTTCCAGTCAGGATTTAGACCGTATCACAGTACTGAGACTGCTCTCATTAGAGTTACAAATGACCTGCTCTTATCATCTGATCGTGGTTGTATCTCTCTAGCACTGAGATCTTAGCACTGCGTTCGACACTATTGACCACAACATTCTTTTGAATAGACTAGAAAACTTTGTTGGCATTAATGGAAGTAAGTGGACTCAAAATAAAGTGTTACCGGAGTTTGTTCAGGGAAAACTCTTAGTTAATAGTGAATAAGTGTTCCCTATTCTAAAGTGTTATCAAATATTTAAAGGGAATGATAGCGGGATAAAATGGTAAAACAAGGGAGAATCCTAGGAAAAACAGGAGGGTTGACAGGTATGTATACATACCAAAATCTTACCTGTGCAACACTGGGTTGAGAGGATGTCCATAACTGCAAACTCTTGCGTTTCCGAGCAGCATCATTCTTTTGTTTTGTTGGGATCTCTGCTCCATTCATGGACGGAGGGGGCTGTTCCACTTTGTTTACGAGAGTAACACCTGACTCTGTCACCCCAAAAATAATCTGTGGGTTTGAATTCTTATATGTCTTGAGAACTTCACTTGGTGCACCCCGAGTCATGTCTTGCCATACAAGAACCTTAGAGGCATCATAAAGAAGGTGCTCAATTCCAAACCATGATACTTTGCTAATCATTTCTTTGCATGACTTCATGAAAAGAGCTTTTTCTTGGAGATATCTGCATGTGATGGACAGATGCTCTGCTTTGCCCACATCAAATGTCCCTGGCAACTGATCCGAAGGTGTTTCCACAAAAGTCATTATCACTTTGTGTATCTTTTCCAATCTTTCCAAATTGTCTCCAAAATTGATCATTGCAGACATTGGTACAGATAAAAAGAAGCTTTTAATGTCATGGGCATTTCTGAGTGCAGCCTCAGCCTCAAGGAGCTCACGCTTACTCTTCAGATACATGTAGTAAGATGCATCAGGGGCCCCATGGAGCTGTTGGTGCAAGGAGGATACCGCACTGTAGTATTCCTGCAGTTTACTGTAGCCCTCTTGTGCCAAGGTCTTTTGAAAAGAAGCAAACAACGACAACTGCTGCTGAAAGCCAACCTCCCCTTTGTAGAGTTCTCCATAAAGAGAAGGGTCATACCATAGCAAACTCCTAAACGTGGGTTTACCGCTCAGAAAGTTGATTTTGTTTTCTACAAACTGCCAGGCTTCCATCATCATCTGCAACTCCAAGTAAGAATTCACCGCTTCATATTTCAGGTCTACTTGTGCAGGTGGATGGTCCAAATATTGCTCTAAGATGAGACACCTTGAGACGAAAGATTGGTTGAATGGCACTTTCTGATCTTGTTCAAAACATGAGATAAAATGCTGCAACATGCTTTTGCATTTAGACTGCAAAGATCCAAGTTCGGTTAATGAGACTGTTTGGTCAGCCATCTTAAGAGTGTTCGAAATATCACTGATGCTGTATTTATTGTCAGCGAATGTACTGCTCACATTGCCATCATCAACGATTTTTACAGTGTTCCAAGATTGATTCTCTTGACTCTGTCGTTCATGTAAACTATTCAAATTCACAGAGGGATTTCGTTGGCCTGTTGTGTGCTTTCTTTGCATCTGTAACTGGGCATTAAGGGTGTTATTGATGTAGATTTCTGGGAAAACAGCGCTCCGGTCGTTCACCTGGGGCAATGGGTGAGGACTGTTATCTTTGATGGTGTCTAAAGCACTGGTACTGTCAGGACTGACACTAGTGACTGAGCTCCTCCTTGATCTTTGCTTGCTGGTCCGTTTGGTTTGAGAAGATCGTCGGCCTCTCTTAGATTCAACAGGCACTAGTAGGCAAACATCAGTTCCATGTCGAGCATGTTCACTTCGAAGAACTTTGCTAGCTTGAACAGGGGCTTCAGTGTATTCACTTGAATTGTCTTTTTTAACAGCTTCACCCCCGTGAGACATCAGGCAAGGAACATTCACCATACAGTACTGGCTTTTTTCGAACAACTGCTGTTTATGTGCTGTGCTGTCGAGTGTTATCCACACCACTGGTCTTTCTTTGAGATCTTCATTCACTGCTTCTTGTTTCTTGACAGTGGACTCAAATTTGGTCAAATAATCTCTTAGTTTAGAAATGAGCTGGGTTTCTGGTGAGTTTGCCTCATCAGTTTTATTTTGGTCTGGCCTTGATAAATTACAGTTGTCTCTGATTGCCGGAGTACTTGGTGATTTGGTAGAACCAAACAAACTGGTGTTGATGCTCTTCTTTGTGCGTTTTGAGGAAATCTCACACTGGACACTCAAAGCTGGATCATCAATAGTAAGATCTACAACATTATTTGATGTATAGTTCAAAGCCTCTGGACCACGCTGCTTTGAATCTGATGTTGTGTCTCCAAATGCCTCAGAATCAGTACTCCAAACACTGCTGACATTAGATGTGCTGGTAGAAATTGGTTTGACTGATTGGTTCATATGTGGGATATTTGCCGCCATGAGTTCTGTTCCTTCAAAACACTGTACATTTAGAGTATTTTTCATATTTGCATTTTGCTCACTACATTTTATAGTGTCTGTCTCAGCTGTATCATTGAAAGTTTCCATCAACTTGGCTTCTGGAGTCACGTTTGACCTGAGCTCAGTTTTATGACTGTTGGTTGTGTTGCTTGCAGGCACATCACTGTGTGTTTCTGATGCCTCACAATCAGAATCTACATTGTCATCTACTGTAAATTTAATTGTGAAATGCTCCTTTCTTAACGGATTCAGTCCAGTCTCTGATGTCACATTTAGCAACATTTTCTCCTCTTCGCACTCTTTGATACTCCCATGTTTTTTGCTAGTGCATGTGATCAAGAATGTTTGGCTTTGATTGGAGATGTTTTCAGTTGTCTTCACTTGTTCTCCTTTATCCACCATTACTGGGATTAGATTTGAAGTAAAATCAGCTGTTGCCTTCTCAGTGCAGACTGAATCACTTTTATAGAGATCTTCAGTAGGAGTTATTGGCTCCTCTACCGGTTTGGTCTCAGGAAGAGTGGCATTAGCCTCCTGAGAACCCTGAACATGTAATGATTGTCCGTCATCAGATGTGTGAGAAATTATTCTTAAATTAGAGTCTGGGTCTTGATCTTCATGTTCTGTAAATACTATTTCAGACTGACTGTTTGAAGAGTCTGGTGTTGCTTTGCTGTTTACTGTTTCATCAGCTGACACAGTTGCTCTGCAGAGATTCCTCTTTGCTTTCCAGAAGTGTGTCTTCTTGACATATTTGCTCCTCTTTAGAGAGTGACGTAGTGATAGAACTGTGTGCTGTTTTTTGAGACATGCCTTCTTACTGCCTGGTCTGCTCAAGTTCTTGCATTTCACATACAGTTTAGATTTACTGTACCTCTGAGCTAGTAGTTGTATTAGTTCAGCATTACAAGTTGCAGTTTCTTTGTATCCTTCGCTTCTGCACATTTGTATCCCTGGGCTTTGAATCATTTTGTTGTTTCTTTCACTCAATTTCTTTTGAAGGCGTTTGATTTTTGAAAAACGCTCAGAGAGAGAAAGCACTTCTGTAGTATGAGCAGATGTTTTGCTGGATTTAAGAGTAACTTTGAGATGGATATCTTTCCAGAATCTCATGTTTAGGTTCGTTTCAGCTTCGCTGTGATCTTTGCTTTCATTTTTTAGCTTGGAAATGTTGTCTGCAGGTCTGCTCATATCTCTGTCTGTACTTGAGGAGAAAACATGCTTTTGAAACATGCTTGGCAATAGTTGATCAAGTTGAATTCGTTTGTACAATTCCCAGTGAGTCCTGTTGTCCTGCTTTACTGTTTCCATATCAACGTCTGGAGATGAGACTTCACAGCATTTTATCCATCTATATGAACCCATTTCTTGAACATCGCTGCAAGTTTTCCCATCCTCCTTTTGCTTTACTGTCATGGGAAGACTGAGATCACAGTTGTCTGATGGTCTACAGCTAGAGACTTCAACACAGCTTGCAATATCCATGACTGTGTTATCCATGACGTTGTTTGCATACGTAAGGCATGATCCAGTGCTGAGCTTTTCAACTAAGTTATCACCTGGAGTAGACTGATTCTCCTTTAAGTCCTCTACTGCCCTTCTGGAGAGCTCGCTTTCATATTCTATGCTGTGATTAAGCTTAGCTTCATTAGAGGGACAAGTTAAAGGACTTGGGTGCTTGAGATCAAGATGTACTCTTTGTGTCTCAGTTTTCTCACCTGTGAGGTTGAGGTTCAATGATCTCAGCACCAATGGTTGCTCTGAAAGTTTATCTGGAGACTGAACCAGACATCTATCAGGATTCTCCTGGTGAGTCTCTGGTGCTTGATCCAGTCCCTTTTCTGTCAACATTACTGCACTAGATTCTGTATGATATAGATGACTGGTCTCATAAATGTGTGTTGTGCTACATTTACCCCTGTTAGCTGACAAACTTGCAGCATTATGACTTTTTGGTTGGCACACGTAGGACTGATTGTGCTTGTATGTATCGTCTTTTGTCTGTAGAATGTGATTTTCTTTGGGCTCTCTTTGAGAAAGGCTGGACTTCTTCTTTGTCTCATTAACATTTTGAAAGATCAATCCCTTTTTATACTTCTGATAATAAACTTCATAAAAATGTATACGGTCAGCTAATTCTTGCTTTTGTTCTGCTGACATGTTTTCTTGTGACCATATTTTCTGATGCCTCTCTTCCTCATTCATTCTAAAGTAGGCAGCATATTTTTGGAATTTCATTTTGAATAACTTCATTGAGGGCAATGTCAGGGTATGCGAACATTGGTCAACCCTTGAGGTTTCTGTTTGAGTGTCCTTCTTTGTTGGCTCTTTTGAATCACACGTATTTCCAGCAAATCCGTAATTGTCCTCTTGGTTTTTATCGGCTGGTTGGCATTTGTTATTATCACATCCTGATCCAGTGTATGCTACCTTGGCCTCTGAGTAGTTGGTTTGTTGATTTGCTTCTTGTCTAGATAGACGAGGATCACTAACCAAGCGTGAAGAATACACTACGCTAGAAATGTTGTCCAGTGGACTTTGAGGTACTATGTCCCATGCATTGTCATTGCTTGCAGTACTCTTTTTGTGATTACTCAGGAATAATTTCTTTCCCAGCAAGCTTTGAGAGAAAGCAGTGTGACCCATATCTGGTCCTGAACTGCTGGAAGATTCTGAGTCCTCACTGGCAGCAATCCAGTGCTGTTTTGGGTTGAATGACTGAGTGTTTTGCATATCGCTCTTTTGAAGTGGAGCTTCTACTTCTGGTTTCTGAGGTGTATAATCTGTCTCAAAGCAGCCCGGCGTGCCAAAGTGTTTGAACGTAATGGTGGCAGTGCCTCCTTTTCCTTTTCTCTCTGCCACAGTACATGCCTTAAAACGGTCTGTTGTATTTTTCAGGGATAAAATAAACAAACACATTATTGAATAAAAGACTTGATGCATTATAAACACTGAGACATATGAACTGTGAAAAGTGCTATAGAAATAAACTTGACTTGATAATGATGGGTATGCTTGAAGTCTTAATAAAAAGGTTTGTGTTTTATCTCACCATGCACTTGGCCAATAGGTAGCGCTGAAGCTGAAAGTGGTAGGTTTGTAGGCACAGTCAGAATGGCACTGCTGGCAGGAACAAATGAAACTACAGCGTACGGCAAACACTGCCTGGGTCTTTCAGTGAGTTCCTGCTTCTCGTTAAAGTCAAACAGAAAAACCTAGAAGGGCAAAGTTTTTTAATAAGACTCCTATTGCTTAACCAGTCCATTTGATCGGATAATTTGCTATTCTGAGATTAAATCAACTCACAGAGGAGCCCAGAACTTGCTGGCGAAGAGTGTCTCGATGGGACACTGCATCTTTACACATGTGACAGTCAAAGCCCACAGTGGGATCTTGCGTTTTGTTCCAGTCCAAGCTTGGAGCGGATTTTTTCACCTTTCCATAAAGAACCTGAAACCCCAAAACACAACAATGTTCACTACTTACTGTCATTCCATTAATAAATGTCGTTCCACAATGCTTAGACTGTATAGGAAACATTCAACAAACCTTGAAAATGACAACTTTTGTCAAATGTAATACGCTGGTATTAGAATTCAGAGCCACATCGACATGCCTAAAGAGATATACTCCGTGTGATGGCTTTCCCAAGGCATACTGGACAGTGCTGCCAACCCGTAGACCGTGCTGATAAATCTGGGCCGCCATTTGATCCGATGCAGCTAAAAAACTGAATCTTTCTTCCATTTCTCTCCCATGTCTTCCTTTGGCTCGCATCTCTGCCCTGAAGATGAGCGGTCACAGATACAGCGGGTAAAATAAGTATTGAACACGACACCATTTTTCTCAGTAAATATATTTCTAAAGGTGCTGCTGACCTGAAATTTTCACCAGATGTCGGTAACAACCCAAGTAATCCATACATTCAAAGAAAACAAAACTAATAAGTTCAGAAATCAAGTTAGGTGTAATAAAATGGAATGACACAGTGAAAAAGTATTGAACTACTGAAATTTATTTAATACTTCGTACAAAAGCCTTTATTGGTAAAGACAGCTTCAAGACGCATGAAGAAACTAGTGGCATGCATTGCTCAGGTGTGATTTTGGCCCATTCTTTCACAGAGTCTTAAAATCTTGAAGGTTCTGTGGGCCTCTTCTTCTTGGGGATCTTTAGTTCTTATTTTCTATTGGATTCAAGTCAGGTGATTGGCTGGCCATTCCAGCAGCTTTACTGTCTTTCTCTGAAACCAATCGAGAGTTTCCTTGGCTGTGTTTGGGATCATTGTCTTGCAGAAATGTCCACCCTTGTTTTATCTTCATCATCCTGGTGTACTGTAGGTGTTGGGACTGAAGCTAATATTAATTTCCACTGACAAGGGGAAGGATTGCTTTCTAATTACTGATAGATTTCAGTTGGTGTCTTGGCTTTCAATGCCTTTTTGCACCTCCCTTTCTTCATGTGTTCAATACTTTTTCCCTGTGTCATTTCACTTTATTACACAGAACTTAATTTCTGAACTTATTTGTTTTGTTTTCTTTGTATGTATGGATTACTTGGGTTTTTACCGACATCTGATGAAAACTTCAGGTCAACAGCACCTTTAGAAACATATTAACTGAGAAAAATGGTGATGTGTTCAATACTTATTTTACCCGCTGTATGCAATGAAAAGCAACATTCGTTTATTGTGGAAAATGTATTTTAATTTCTGAATTTCTGAAGTGCCACAAGAGCAAAGCCTGCGACTGCACTGGAAAATGTAACAACAGGCCAGCATGTTACCTTTTTTCTGAGAACTTTTTAAGGAGCTCCTCATTGTGCACTAAACAAACATCTTTCCAGACCCACGCATTTGCTCGGTCCTCTCTAGTGTCCAGCTTGGCATCTCTCAGTTTTGTCTTAATGAGATTGTAGTCACGGGTTTCCTCTGAACAACGTTCCAAAAGGACTGACCGAAAAGAAGTAAAAAAAGCACTTTTTAAAAACAGCTGATGAATTTAACCGTAGCTCTGGATTATGACAGCACTATCATGAAACAGTTTGGATGTTTAGTATGCCATCACAAAGATTATTTTGTTGATTTGGATTTTGAGAAAATCTAGTAAAACCTTCTCCAGAGGTCCGTTTCTTCCTGGGTATGGTGAAGCTCTTCAGTGCCAGGGTTCCTGTTAATGTTGACTGGTGTGATCTGGAGCCCTCTAATGTCTCCTCACGCTGTCTTTTCTCCATACTGGTTTACAACTGATATTCACTCTGAAAAAAAAAAACATACATTAATCTAACATGTAAAAGAGTCCTGCTCAGCAGATATTCCCAAAACTATCATAAACTGTCACCCGCTTTACCAGTGCCAGGCAAACAGATAAAACACAGCCGATTTGCTCTTTCACTACATACAGTTGTTTGTACAACAATATGAATATATGGTCTTTATGATGAATATATGGTAAAACTAATTCTCACCAAATGTCAAGGCAGCGAGAGCTTCACTCTTGTCCAGATTATATTTCTGCTGCAGTGCTCACATTTATTAACTTATGCTTAAATATTGTTAAACCTGGTCAGCTCTTTGTTTGTATAATATACTATGTGACTGTATGACCATAAAACATCACTGAATTTTTTTCAACAACCTTTTAAACACACTAATAAGATGCTGTTTGGTACCAGGGGTGTTATAGAAATCTTTACTGAAAAAAAAAAAAGAAATACATCTTGGAAAATAACCACATTGCCACAGCAAACGTCGACACACAGCATGAAATGTAAACGTCGACACAGGTATTTCGGCTTTCACATGTATAAAAAAAACATCCTTCAGAAGTGGTCAGTTCAGTGTTACTAAACTCATGGTTTAGGGAATGTTGCTATAATTCAACATTGACAATCCCTTACGAAAAAGAAGTTTATTCAAGTGTGCTATTAGTATACTTCTTTTAAACTAAAAATAGGAAAGTATATTTTTAGTCTACTTTTTATGTACTTCTCATGAGACATACCAAAAAGGAAATCGCTTGACCTCAAACGCTGAACAGCAAAGGCACAGGAAATTACCTAGTACTGTTACTAACACCACGGGTTCTTCTTTAGTCCAACCACCAATGAGCCTCGAAAAATACCAACAACATAGAAGAGAGATGAGAACATTTGGATCTTTTTGTTTTAAAATATATATATTTTTAAATGTTAGTATTATACTATTTGAGAATGTCTACTTGATATATGGGTCAGGGGTTGCCACAGGGCTTCATATGAGAAAAAGCAGCCAATACATTTCTTTACAATGTATAAACATTCTAGATTACCAATTTTTTTTTGGTACAAAACTATTTAATTACACTATTTCCAATGAATAACATATGTGTATTGTATTGTTTCAGACTGAAGCTCTTTGGATCATTTATGCAATGATTTTTACTTCATTGCAGGGGTGCACCAACTGACCATCATTCTCAGAAAGAGAAGCTTCTATTTTCAGCGTTTACACCCATCATCACACCCTCATATGAAGCTGCTTCCTTTTTTGTGTTTTTTTTCCCTTCTTGCGGATGATTGAGATCTCTGACAAAAGTTCTTAAAACACTTTAGACATTCTATGCATGTTGCCCTGTAAAACAGCTGAAAATGATTACTTGCTGCAACTACACTCTTAAAAATAAAGGTGCTTAAAAGGTTCTTCACAGCGATGCCATAGAAGAACCATTTTTGGTTCCACATATATAGAACCATTTAGTAAAAGGTTCTTAAAGAACCATCTCTTTCTTACCTTTTTATAATTTATTTCGCCACAAAGAACTTTTTGTGAAACAGAAAGGTTCTTCAGATATTAAAGGTTCTTTATGGAACCATTTCATGACTTCTAGTGAAAGATTTGGCTAAAGCTGTATTATTAGTAGTATTAAAATACATGCTGGTTATGTTTCACATGACAGCACGACAGTGAAAGCACAGCTATGTATACATGTGAAATGTTTATATACAAGTTAAATCACATGTCTACAGCACAACCGAGCAAACAAACAGGCATCAACACACTGAAAGAAATAATCGTTAGGAAACTTGTAAGATTACAATTTTGGGTACTTACCATCATGTAAAATGGCAGTTGAGCATGTATGACATGATCTAAGATGTCTTAGCAGGGAACTGTGCGAAGTTTGTCACTTCAGTTTGAGGAACATCAAGTGAGACATACCAAAAAGGAAATCGCTTGACCTCAAACGCTGAACAGCAAAGGCACAGGAAATTACCTAGTACTGTTACTAACACCACGGGTTCTTCTTAAATCCTTCAGAAATAACCAGTATTTCTGAAAGAAAAGACCAGAGAGGTTAAGATCGAGCAGCTATCAGAAATCACGGCTCAACGCTTGAGCTCAAATGACCATGAGTCAGAGGGATATTTCTTCCTGACACAAGTGGAGATTCAGTATGCACATATCTAGCCAAACAAAAGCACATAACGTCTCAAAAAGTAATAGATGCTTAGGTCTTGAAGCCTAAATCAGCTGGGGTAGCGCAGTTATTGAAGCACTCATTTAAAAACATTCACATTTTCTATGCCAAAAGTACATCATACCAAAATACTGTACAAATGACTACCAAAAATAAGTTATGAACTCACTTTAATGTGGGAGAAGATAAAAACAGCCAATAATATAGATATCTGAAGAGTTGATCAAAAGACACATTCTAAACATAAAAAAGTTGTACTTTATTAGATTGTCTATGGAACGTTTACACACAAATATTGGGTAACTGTAAATAAGCATCACACATTTCAGCATGTACTTTGGTGAGGATTTCCACCACGAGACGTCTACCGGTTCAAGTTCTCACCCGCCAGTTTTATAATGTGCTGTTATTCACGGTAAGACTGAGTATTAGCCGTGGCGGATGGGCTGCTCCCTGGTTGCATGTCTGACATGTTTGCAGCTTCAACATGAGCAAACGCACCTTTCTTATGTCATCCTACTCAAAGCAACCTTAACTGGAGAATTAGGCCAGACTTGTGAGCAGGGAGCCTCCACACGCGACTGCACAGACACAAGTGTGCATGATTTACAGTTACGCAAAACTGCTCGCGTTGAGAAAGGGCATCTTGTCGTCAATCTCGAGACTGAAAAGCCTCGGGTTTGCTCTACTGTTTCCATTGTCATTCATCATGCATGCAGCTAGGGTCCAGTTTAGCACCTTTATATGTTCTCGTATAGCACCATTTGTCATATATATTTGAAGTTTGTCAGGACCCTACTGTTGGCATGCACGAACGTCAAATTTAAAACTTCATATTTCATCAGATATGTATCCTACATATTTCAACCTTTTAAAACATTACAAGGCAAATCAGGAATATTCATACTGTACCATACATGTTAAACAGAAACTAATACAGTACTCACGTGAAAAGAAAGTGCTACTAGACAGAACCATTTCTTTCTTGTTTTTGAGTCGTATAATATTCGACGGCTCTACAGGAGGACACACTACATTACATTATCTAAAGATACACCAAAACATTTTTTTTTTTAATTTTGCCATCTTTTAAAATCATTTAACAAACACTGACACGTCATAATTCCAACCGCAGATGGTCAACACAAAGATAAAAAGGAACAACTCAAGAACCTTTGTTTTTTTCTTTTTTAGAACGTCACATCACCCACACCACTATCAAGAACATATACAGAAGTGTATGCATCTCTGCTGTTATATTTTAATATTCCCCGAACTTAAATATTTTTCTATTTTGCTTTGTGTTATTTTTCATTTTATTCGCGAGGTCACTTTGCCGCATTCGAAAAACACCTTTTCCCCGGTTCTTTTGTTTTCTAACATCATGCGTACAAAATGTTACATTTTAGAGATGAAGGCAAACTACGTTGGAACGATAATTCGTAACCCTAAAGTCAATCATTACAACCTCAGTGTAATGATTTTAAGGCCTATGGGTTCAAAACTGTGACTTCAGTACATGTTATGCATAACAGTCCAATTTCATGAATTCAAGTGTTTAGAGTAACTCAGACATAGCTGCAATATAGTAATCGCATTTTGAGATGGCCTTATAAATTGACAGCTGTTTCCTCTAACACTACAGGAAAATAGACATCAATCTTCCCAAATAATTCCTTTAGAATTAAATACGCTGTTTCATCAGGGTGATAAATTGTGTACACTAACAATATTTGTATACCACCTATACATAAAGCGAGAAAAACATCATACGAACACTGCTCTCTTCTGGTCATGCATTGCACATACACGTATAACAAGCATACTTCTACTCATCTCTTTGTTGGGAACAAACCTGTACTCAGATTTTTAAAGTGCACATGGTTCATTAATTTTGCGCCAGCTTTACACGCTTACTGCTTTATAGGTAAAAGAGGACAACCAGAGGCTGCCATTCAAAGGTAACTTTCTAAATATTCTGATGCTCTTGGTAGAAAAAAGGATCTTACCCAGGGGTGCCCAATCTCGGTCCTGGAGGGCCGGTGTCCTGAAAAGTTTAGCTCCAACCCCAATTAAACACACCTGAACCAGCTAATCAAGCTCTTACTAGGCATACTAGAAACTTAAAGGCAGGTGTGTTGAGGCAAGTTGGAGCTAAACTCTGCAGGACACCGGCCCTCCAGGACCGAGCTTGGGCACCCCTGATCTTACCTTTTTCAAACTTCCTACCTTCTAAATACGGGAAATCTGCATACTAGGCATTATGACCCAACGTTAGTACATACTGCCTCCTCTAGCAGCCCTTATTATAAGAAATCCGTGTGCAGACAATACAATACAATCACAGACTGAATACTCTGTGTCAGTTATATGCTAACCAGACCCTTGAAATGACACACTGCAACCAAATCTGATCGAAAAGAACCAAGCAGCACACAGAGCAAACAGATGAATGCACTTCTGAAAGGCTGAGGTGTTCGTTTGGGAGCACGATATGGGGTTTTCTTTGCAGTGGTAAAGCAGATGAAGCAGCTCAAAGTGCTGTTTGAATAAAGTGCTTCCTGTAGGAGGTGTCTGTTATAGATCAGCATCTTAACACTAACCCACAGAATGTACCCATAATTCAGTTATATTCTTCTAAAACATAAATACTCTCACACACACACACACACACACACAGAGAGAAAAAAAAGAAGTGCCGAAACGAATTGCTTTTCCCATCAACTGGACAATAATTACAGTACAAATTAGGGCTGCATAATTAATCAAATTTCTAATCGCGATTACAATTATGGACGCCACAATTACGTAATCGTTCAAAGCAGCAATTAATCGTTCAAAGTCCACTTATGTTATTCTGCGTGCTTAAGATATGATTTTTTCTTTCTACATGTTATCTTAAGGGTTTCCCCCATTATTTTAATTTTAGTTTTAGTATAACACTATAATACCATTCTTATTTTTATTTTTTTTATAATTTAAAGAAGAAACCAATTCGATGTATAGTTGGCATTTGAGGCTTAATACTATAGAAAAGCACTAAAGGTTTTTCAGTTAGAGTGTTTTCAGCTTGTTTATTTTCATATAAAAATACGGCATGCAGTTGCATCAAACAATGGTATAAACATCATTCAATGTAAATTGTGATAATCGTAATTAATAATCACAATTTCAAGGGAATAATCGACAATTATGAATTGTCATAATCGTGCAGCCCTAATGCAGGTGATTAATTTTTCCAGTTTAATGATAATACAATTCATACCATATTTTTACATTTTTATAATTTAAAGAAGAAACCAATTCGATGTATAGTTGGCATTTGAGGCTTAATACTATAGAAAAGCACTAGAGGTTTTTCAGTTAGAGTGCTTTCAGCTTGTTTATTTTCATATAAAAATACGGCATGCAGTTGCATCAAACAATGGTATAAACATCATTCAATGTAAATTGTGATAATCGTAATTAATAATCACAATTTCAAGGGAATAATCGACAATTATGATTTTTGTCATAATCGTGCAGCCCTAGTACAAATAAACAGAAGCCAACTCGAGCCAGACCTAAAACCAACGAAAATACTCATTAGTTGTGCTTTAATGAGAAAACAACTGCCTAGATGCATGTATGTCCATGCCTCTAAATGCTACAACCCCAGGAAAAAAGTTTTAATAAAGGCAACTAGTTAACACATGCTGTGTTTTCATAGTAGTACACTACTGCTTATATTTTATTTGAATGAAATTCAGTATGCAAAATGCGTACTGTGCATAGTACGCCCAATTTCAGTGTAGATTTTAAAACTATATGCCAAAAAACAATTTCCCGCAATCCAATGAATTGGGTGTGAAGGACATCTGGGGATGCTGCAAATTGCTAGTTACTTTTCTCACATTTTCTCATACACTATTTTTAAAAAACTAATGATTACGTCTTAGTAATGCAGTAGAATGCGTGTATGATAATATGTAGTTTTAAACAGCTATTGTTTTGATAGCAATGACATCATGTCAAATGCATTTCAACATTTTAGGTCTGTGTAAATCCAGTGTCACAATCCTTTCAACATTTCACGCAAGACCACATAACCCTGCAAACCAAGCTGAACTAAATTCTGTTATTTTAAAACGAGCCTATTTGTTTGCTTTGCTTTTGCACAGTTCTCGTTTAAACCCACTGTCAGGGAAAAATAAACTATTGCACACCTATCAAGAGTGTTTTAGCATTTGTCTCGTCAGAAAGATTGATTTCACTAAAACCTATTATTTAAAGCCACTTTTAAAACTTTTAAAAAAGCGAATCTTAGTGTGTCCGTTCATTTATGCTAAAGCATGGCCACACAATGTCATATATTTGATGCTTTAGGCTGATTTTGAGCAATGTTGCCGGGCAACTTTGGATAATGTTGGCATCAACGGGCAACCAGGTCTAACCAGTCTAAAATATCCAAATATAAATGTATTACCCATTCTCAATGGGAAAGTGTCCAAGCAACATTGCTCAAAAAAAAAGTTGCCTGGCAAAATTGCTCAAAAATTTGCCCTGTGTATCATCAGCCTTATAGTTCAAGCAGCCTCATCAGGTTACGTATTTTACGTATGTAAATAATTCATCCAAATAATGTAAATATTAATGCACTTTTTGGTTTGTAATTTCAAACGGGGAACACAGTATTTGTGCAATGGCAAAAATGTTGCAGTACTCTTGATCATTGAGACAAAAAAAAAAGAAAAGCTTCACTTTGGACCATCAAAATACTCTGCACTCGTGTGCAGTGCATCTCTGATATAAGTGCTGGTTACACTTTATTTTGATAGTCCACTTTAGACATTCGACTAACTATAAGTAACTTTGCAACTACATGTCAACTAATTCTCATTAATTTGCAACTACATGTCTACTAATTCTCAGAGTGGACTGTTAGGTTAGTAGAATAATTTGACATATACTTGCAAAGTTCAGTATGTTGTATGTTGTGGACCCATCCAAATAAAGTGTTAGGCTGATGATACACTGGGCAACTTTTTGAGCAATGTTGCCAGCAACCAGGTGAGACACAGAGCCCACGATTGATCTAAAATATCCAGATAGAAATTTGTTACCCATTCTCAATGGGAAAGTGCCCAAGCAACGTTGCCAAAAAAAAGTTGCCCAGTGTATCATCAGCCTTAGAAGATATTAAGCAGTCTACTAATACTCTAATGACTACTAGTTGGCATTTAGTTGGAAAGATACTTACTTTTAAGCTGATGATAAACAGGGAAATATTTTTAGAGCAATGTTGCTTAGGCACTTTCCCATTAAGAATGGGTAACACATTTCTATCTGGATACTTTAAATCAATCATAGGCCCTGTGTCTTGCCCATTGATTAACCCAGCAATATTGCTCAAAAAGTTGCTCCATGTATTATCAGCCTTAGTAGAATGCCTAAAGTGGACTATCAAAATAAAGTGTTACCCAAGTGCTTGATAAGACCTTGATTATTTGATTCCCAGCTTTGAGAAATTGCACAGCAGCCCTATACACGTTAAGCCTGGGAAGAAGTATTGGATGCAATAACACCAAATCCTAATGCACGCTCTCTCACAGACACACACACACACACACACACACACACAGACACACACACACAGCAACCCCAGCAGAGCCGCTTGGATTCTGCCTAGATTGAAATCGACAGTAGTGGGCATGAACGGGACGGGCCGCACTGTAAAGTGTACGGTGAGTACAGCAGGAGGCTAGAGGTACTACTAACACCAGAAGCATCATCATCAGAAGCAGCAGCGTGCGTCAATCCTCCTGGTCCTCCGCGTCTGTCCGCTTCTCTTTATGGCAGGTGAAAATGTGCCGCATCTCCTCCTCGTACCGCATGAAGTTCTCGCCGAAGCGGGCCCAGACTTTCAGCGGGACGGTGATCGTGTTCCGGTAGGGCTGCCGGACCTCGCTGATCTTCAGGAAGACGCCGAAGCGGTTCGAGCCCACGTCGAAGTAAAAGCGCTTGTTGTCGACGCGGAACGACGCCGCCTCGGGCAGCTCGGGCGACGCGTCGTGGTTCCGCGCGCAGGGCTCGTCGTCGCCGTATTCGTCGATTAACTGCGACAGCGCGTCTCTGAACTCGATCAGGCCCTGCGCCGGCAGCACGATGGTCTGCTCGATGCCCTGCCCGTAGTACCCCATGCTCCCGTGTCCTCGGTTGACGGTCTGCCGGATGCGCAGGAACCGGCCGCGCTGGTTCTCCTTCAGGTCCAGGTAGTACTTCCTGTTGTCGCGCTCGATGAACTCGCTCTTCAGCCCCCGGTGCGTCTGTCTCCGGCGGGGCTCCGGTGCGCGTCCCTTGCCGTTGCTCTGCCCCTCCGGCGCCTGGCATCCTCGGAGCCCGATGTGCGCGTAATAATCGATGAAGTCGATGAAGTAGTAGCGCAAATCGGGCGCCATGGACATGGAGAGGGTGAGCTTGCTCTTGCGGATGTTGTGGATGTTGTCGCGGCCGATCCACACCTCGGCGATCTTCAGGAAGCGTCCGCGGGTGCTCTGCTTCACGTCCAGGTAGAAGCGCTTCTTCTGGATGTCCACGCGCTTGGACGCCAGCTCCTGTATGTCTGACGCTTTGCCGCTCGCGTACTGCTGCGAGTATCCTGATGCCATCCTGCCTCTGCCTCTGTCCGTGTCCCTTCGGTGACTATCGGCCATAATCATTCACGGCGCTTCATCGCCTCGCTCGGTATTATTCCGCTTATCGAGCACCGGCGAGTCTCCTCGGCTAACCTGGAAACGGCAGGAGCGGCTCATCGACTTCCTTTGTCCTGATGGTCCTGATGACGAAGCGCGGAGCCGCGTACCGTATGCACCATGTTTTAAAAGCTCTTGTTTTTCGCCTCGTTCGCCTCGCGACACATATTCCTGAAGCGAGAGAGACAGCGGATCTGCTGTAGTGCGAATGAACTCAATGACCCATCCCCCTCTCTCCAGCACACAGGCGCAGATCGCTTGCGTACTACAGTACGCACTGCGCTGCGCACAGATAAGTATGCAGTACAGCAGTACTCCAGAATGAGGACGCTACTTCAGAGGGTATGCACGTGACGTCACCGTCAGCTGGAGTGAGTGCGGCTCCGCCCACTGAGTGGCAAAAACACTGAGTGGCAGCATTGGTTTTCAGCGTGAATGCTGCAACAGAACACACAAAAGACATCTAAAATGAGAACGAGCTTTGTGATTTACCATACAAATAGATTTGACAAGAAATCTGAGGTATATTTTTACAGACTGCCGAAAGCTACAGAAGAGAGAAGCAAATGAATTGCTGCAATTCACAGAAACAAATGGACTCCAGACAGCAAAACACGGATTTGTAGCTATGTAATGTCAATATGTCGAATTTTGAAGTAAAATCATACCCTATATATTATATTGTTATATACTTTATTGACGACTCATCAATTAAATATTTACCATCTTATATTCTGCATAACTGGATGTTTTTAAATAAACACTGACAAAAACTATATACGTTGTTGAGCTGGACGATATGACGATATATATATATATATATATATATATAACCTTTATATAAGTGATCACCCG